AAACCTGATGATAAATACAAGGATACACGTAGGCCACCTACCTATACAAGGAAAACAATACGTCCAGAAAATCATTTTCTAAGGCACACATTCGCATCATTACAGAAGGTTAGGAGGAAACCAGAACAGAATATGTTCATTAGTAGACCTCCAATGGTATTTAAGTGATATTTTAAAAGAAATTATATTTATATAATTACAAAATAATGAAAAATTAGAATAAACTGTTGATCTTCTCTTATTTATTTAAAAGAAAACTATCTTCTGTGATATATGTCTAGCATCCAGACGACAGCTGAATGTGTTATCTGCATAGCTTTTCCGTAGTAAACGAAGTTCTTCGACTAAGTTATGTCTGGTAAGATGAATAGGAAATAAAGATTTCGCAATTTAACTGTTTTGAAAGAATGATGTGGCGAACTTTCGCTTTTGACAGAAAATTGACAAATAAGACGAGTAATAATTAAATTCAATAACCGTGTGCATTCTTATACACTTAAAAAAATACAGCATAACCATTTGTTGAAGGTTAGAGAAGCTAACGAACTGCACAACCCTCGACAGTGGAACGTCTATTTGAAAATCGAATTAAGAAACTAATGAATCACAGTCCCAATAAAAAAAACATTAGAATGTCACAACAATTTCAATATGCTTTTTATCCACAAACAAAGTTGGCTAACTTCGTGAATCCGTTCTAACAGCAACATATCTACAAAAAACACGGAAAATGAAGAGAATCCAGATAGAATGACACTGTAATGGCCAAAGGTGACTAGAGAGCGAATAACAAAATAAGGACTGGTAATTATGTTAAAGATTGTAAAGACTGAGTTTCCAACGTGTTTCTTTAAACAACTTGACGATTCTAGTTGCTGCTATTGCTCACCTAATTAATTCTAACTTTTCTCAACGTAAGCGATGTGTACAACACATTTCAAGGACACCTGAAATGACCTTATATAACAACTCCACGTCTTATCCAGAGATTGCTAATAAACAGACTAATGAACTTTGGCTACAGAATAATCAGAAGCCATCCTGGCAAAACATAAAAGAGTTTTGTTAATTGAATTCAGACTCAGTGGCTTGACCCTTATGTTTCCAACCGACAGCTTCATGCTATGACTTAAATATCTGAAACAGTTTTTTCTACTACGAAGTTTTACTTTCAGACTGTTTCAGTATACACATCCTTCAACTGGTAGAATTCAGTCTGCACCAAAGAAAGGACTAGACACGCCACACTAGTTACTAGTGTCCAATCAAAATACCCACTACAGTCCTACAGGAGGTCAATCGCGAGCCCGAATGGCTCAGTGGTAACGTCTCTGACTGCAGCACTGGGTGACGCGGGTTCGAATCTCAAAAAGGACATGAGTTCCTTCAATGTTGCAGATACGCCTTGCTGATGAGTGCCAACTAGCACGAAGCCTAGGTCCAAGGCTCCCTGCCGACTGCCTCCAACTATCTAATATCCTTTAACTATAGATTTCTTAGGGAATTCGAATTTTCAAATGTGAAATATTTATTACAGATGAAAACTATATGAATATCTAAAGCCACCTGAGTGAAATTTCGTATGAACCCACACAGTTCAGGGGTTTTAAGAAACCATTTGATATACGGCCCTCATATTATTCAAGCAGTTTATGGTTTTTGATAAAATATGTAGTGTCAACCTTGTCAGTGTAAGCTAATAAAGGTAACTATTTATCCACAAGTAGTACAACTTTCTACAAGCGCATGTCAGCTTTATTAGATTTCAGTGGTATCTTTGTTCAATATACAGTCAGCCGTTTGGTAGACTGACTATTTTCAGTTAACTGGCAGAAAAAAATAATAATGGAAAGCTAATTACTGTCCACTCATGTAAATCCAGTGCAGATGTCATCCAAACCGGGTATCAAGCAGGGAATCATTGAAAACCAAGGGGCACTGGACACTTGTTTTGTCCTAGTCTATGACTCCTCAACAATGCTCATTCATGATTCGAACTCCCATGTTACTAGGCCAACTCGCTAACTATTCATTTCAGACCCACACTGGTGAAGAATCCCGAATTAGAAGGAAACAGCCGTCCACTGCTACTCCGTTTCTAGGGATTCACTAAATGATACAGGTTCGTGACGAAATCTATATTACAATTAATCCAGAACACATAATCTGAATATCGTTCACATAACACCCAAAAACAGATTAAAACAACCCTACATGACCGGGATGAAATTCAGATAGCACGAGCAGTTGGATCTAACAGTCGAGTCGGTAAAGCTCAGGCCCAACGAGCCTGCTGTTGCTGTTTCAAATTTTGCAAGGAATTCATATTTTTAAACCTAAGTCATCATTCTGATGCATTCAGTGACATGGAAAATGAGGAGAAAAATAGCTTGCAAATGTTCAGGAAGACATAGCAATGTTTAATGAAGTCGAGTAAATCTTCCAATGTTCTCATGAATAAAAAAATTCTTCATATTGTATGATGAACAATAAGCCTTCACTGATAATAAAATGCACTTAGTTATTTCTTTATCACCTTAATGATAGATGAGCTGCATTAAAGTAACCCACTATCTGAAATCCCAGTGTGTGGCATGCCTTTCTATCGACAGATGGTGAACTCATCCACCTATTGAATGATGGTTGTCAAATAAATTTCATAGGGACTAGTTGTTCAAAGAAAATAAAAATCAGTTCAATTTTATCAAGACTGAAGTTACATTGAACTTAACCTCACTGTTTTTCTTTACAAGAAAACATCTTTCTATTGGCTGTTGAATAATTCATGATATTAGGAATTTATGAAACTGGCATTCCTAACTTAATAACATTCAGATGAAAATCAGTCTTAAGTCAAAATATTAACATAATAACCCGCATTGACGATATTGTACCACAATTTGTTTTAAAGTTCGCTAAAAGTAAAAATTTCTGTTTCATATAGAAGTGAAAACACCAGATAGACTGTAGTGTTAGATAAGCAGCCTAATCGAATGCCAAAGCTGGATACTTTCTATTAGTCCCTTCCCTCATTCTTTTGTGACACAGCTATTTGAGCACATCATTCCAGCATTCTGTTACCAAATTGTCTACCACAAGAAATATAAATAAGTAAATAAATTTATCCGACTTATTTCTCATTCGTGCAGTAGCTTTGGCCACTACAAGTTTGCAAAATCTCTTATATTCTTACCAATTAAGTTTCTCATTATCAGGTGTGAAATTCGTATTTAACAATGTACTATGAAACATCGGACTGTAGGGATGAAATGTCCTGATTAATTATCGAGTTAATATTACTGTATAACACTGTGTGATTTGTGAAAATAAAGTCTTATCTATAATGGAGTTATACTCTACCACAGTGCCCAACTTTTATATTTTTGTCATTAAAACCTACATTTATTACTATAGTTCAGGATGATGACAATAAGCATTTGTCATATTATGAGTGTTAAATGTAATTACGAAACACTTCAGCTCAGAATATTAAATGAATGAATAAGATGGTATCATTAAAAGTTATTGTCAAAGGGAAACTAGCTTAAAGACCGGCAATTCAGAAGCACATTAAGGAGACGTATGAATCAGCAGATTCTAAGGTACAATAGCAATAAACCATCCAATAAGTTAGTAGATGCACAAGCATTAGTAACTATATCAGGTGAAAAAATGACATTTGCCTACAACCACTAAATGGATGGGCAACTAAACAACAGTGCTTACGCGTATTATATAACATGATAACTTCCATAAATAGGTAATCTGGTGAGTAAAGCTAGACATGTTAACCAATGAGTTGAGAGCCAGAGCAACATTATAGTCAACTAAGCAGACATGGATGTAGAGTTACGTTGAAAAGGAAATATGCAGCATCAGTGTAACCATTTATCAGACTTCTTTTTCCTTTGTATTTTTTCCACATAAGAGGAAAGATATTCAGAAGTCTTTAACATGCTCGTCAGTGTGTTTTTAGATCTCACCACTCAAAAGGATGCTTTATAATCATTACACATAGAAACTGAGAATCGTCATTCTTAACTGCCTTGTCCTTAGACAGTTGCTAAAATACTTATTTTAAGGGCGGTTCCATTTCTTTTATTAAAATATAACGTACTTCCCAGTCTACACAATCAACCATGAACGGCGACCCGGTAACTTCATTGCCAGTGAATCGCATTACAAATGATTGTAATAAATCAAAGGTAATCATCACAAAACTGTAAACCGTAACTTGAAAATTGAGGATATTAGCATTTTAAAACCTCAGTGTTAATATGCTGTATACATTCAGGCTGAGACTGGAGCACTGCCGGACTAATTTCCAGATGATGAAAGAAATAAACGTGTTAAGTAGAATGTTTGCTGATCCGTAAAATACAATGTGATTTAGAAATCCAGTGAATGCAATCACTTCAAACATAAATGAGCCACTAATTTACGCCTGGATCACTAAATTCAGAATCTTATTCTACAATGTTAGTTTGATCTAAACACTTCAAGTTATCAAAAGCCCAAAAACACTTTTACATAAAGTCACTGCAAAACTTTGTCAAGGTAACGATAATAATACGATAGTTGAAAAATTAAGGCATATAAAACTGTAAACCATAAAAATTATCTTCAGCCATGGATGAGGTGAAGATCGTGAACATCATTCATCCATCGCCTGCAACTGACAACCATTACTGCCGCTAAGGTCTGTATTTTATCTGTGGAAATGTTTATCTTACAAAATTCATAGCAAATCAAAGAAGTAACTTTCTCGTGTACGAAAATATCTTATTGCAGCTGTCTGCTTCAGATAATTAAACAAACTTCTACAAAGCGAATGAAAAGAGTGAATCTGTCAGATTACTAGGAGCTGTGACCACTTGATTCATTTATCCTGCTGATCACAAATAACAATCAATCAATAGATAAGTTAAACAAAGATAAAATGAACTTAAATGGGATAATAATGTGAGAAAAACAAAATTAAATCTATAAAAATTGATTTATTATCCTGAAAAATTTGGATAATCATAAGTCATTTCAGTTTCAGTATCCGAATTATTTAAAATCAACTGTCCTACAAGAAGCATTTCATCACTCATATGTAATGTGATGTGAGAATCCAAATTAGAATCCATTACTAAGACAAACTCAGTACTGTCTTCTTCTTCTAATCCATACATCACTTCCTCATTAACGGAATCATTTACAGTTGCTTGATGTGTCAATGATTGATGGGAGGTTGAAATACAGCTGTGAGACGATCCTTCAGACAGACTCTGAACAGTCGTCTGATTACTTCCAGAATGATTAGGAAGGGTGTTGGGTGTGTGCAAGGTTGAAGTACAGCTTACGCTGCCGTCAAACTGAGCACCGTCAACTTCAGTCAATGATGCTAATTGAGGTGTGGGCATAAGTTCGATTTCTCCGGTTGTGATCTCCTCTACAGCATCACTTGCATCAATCCAAACCATACGGGCTGATTGCTCTGCTGTTGGATTCAAAAGAGTATCATCAGTAAGTTCTGGTATGCCGATGTTAACACGAATAATCTGATTTACAGGACGGGATAGGTGATTACCACGTCCCCATGGACGAAGTGTCCATACTGGTGATGTGTTATTTACTCCAAGTGTTGCACCAAAAAAATAACGACTAAATCCCATATTAAGTGGAGTTAGTGGAGGTGGATCAGGTGGTGGCCACTGAGGCAGTCGAGGCCGTTGTCCATTAATCGACCTCATTGCATGCATTGCATATGGGTGTGGTTGTTTTCTAGTAGGTGAAGCAGAATTGGAGCGATCGTTAACACAAACTGATGACTCAGATCTTCGATTAGGAATTTCAATCAACAGTTTATCCAATCTATTATCAGCAAAACTAAGTGACCGGTAAGGTTTAGTGTTGAGTTCTTTTTTGCAATAATGACCTTCTTGACTCATAGCATAATAAAACAGATCGTGCATTGAATAACTTCATTGAGAAAACATGATCACTCGTGACTGCGTTAACAAAGAGCATATTCAGATAGTTTCTTTCCAAAAAATTTACAACGGGTGTTGGTCGAAGTATATGAGTAAAGGCATTTTGGAAATAGAACGACAATAGGTAGGAGACAGTGAAACAGTATAAGTTTTAAACTTATCGACTATCTAATGTGTAGTGCAGGCGAGTTGTTTCACGTGACCATTACTAAAGTTAGTAATAAGACGATAATGATAATAATAAACAAGGTTATTTTCCGATCTAGTGTATGCTTATGAAATACAAGTTGGACTGCAATTTTAGTACAGAAATTCATGATAGAACCTGGTTGTGTTAAACTGTGACTCAGCAGTTGATATCTGAATGAATAACTTTACAATTAATTAAAACGAATTTTTATCTCACGAATACACCGTCGTAGTCCACAAATCCATCCCGGTTAATCCCGATGTTGCCTGATAAGGCAACTAAAGTTTCTCCAGAAAACTGCATAGTATGAACAATTATACGCCTTCACTATCGTTCACCAAGGCAGAAAACTTCTAATATACTGCTTCGCAGTTAAATCAACTAGCTCAGAGAACACAACTAAATCAAATTCATCCACCTGAGCTAAAAATCTTTATTATTCTAAAGTAGTAGGAGCAACCACAGAAAATGAAGATAGTTATGTTGAATGTCATATATCAGTAAAGAAAATTTGAAACTACTTTTGAGATGTGCAGTTTACTTTCAATGAAACAGTCTAAAGACAGAAGGATGGTACTGCAATGGCTTCTCCCTTGGGTCCTCTCGTTGTAGACTGTTTTATGGCCAGTTTAGAAAATGGTCAGTTGAAGTCAACAATCCAAAGCTTTCAAATGTATAAAAGATATGTAGATGACACCTTTACTATTTGTAATTTGAATAATATATTAAATGCATTTAATGGTTGCCATCCAGCGATAAAACTCACAATCGAAATGGAGAACGAGCCTAGCATTTATTTCCTCGATGTGAACTTATCAAGGAGGACCGATGGAACTCTGAAGAGATCGATTTATCGAAAGCTGTCATGGAATGGTCAACTGACAAATTTCTACAGCTGGGTTGAAAACGAAACCTAGTCCTGTCGCTTGCCACCCGCATTCGGCGCATATGTAGCCCTGAAACTGTGGAGGATGAGTTAAATCTTTTGAGGAAAATCCTAATAGAAAATGAATTTGCACCACGTTTTATAGACAAGAATATACATTCAAATCCTATGAAACGTGACTGAATATCCACACCCTGAAAAATACTGCACATAAATTTGGAATTCAGAGGTGACTTAGCTCCCGATATCATGAAAAGAAGGATATCACAGTCCCTGGAAAGAACATTCCCTGCTGAATCTGAGAGAATAGCCTTTACCAGTCAACCATTACTGTTCAATAACCTGAAGGACAAGATCCCGCTGTTGACGAACTCTATATGAGTTTATTAATTCACCTGCTCGTGTGGAGCTAGGTATATCGGTCATTCGAATCGAGTTTTGTCCAAGAGGGTCCAACACTATCCTGCATTGTTGCGAAGAGGTGGAAGTGGAAAAATAAGAAGCGCGATCATTGAACATCTGGTCGATGATGATCACCCTATCTCTACAGCCTCCACTCTTAAAGTCATCTACAAGGCAAAAAGTAATTTACAGAAATCACTACGTACCCGACTCATCTGTGCTGCTGAAGCTTTCGCTATCGAAACAGAAAAGTCAGATCTCTGTATACAGAAAACGTTCGTTCAACCCCTCCAACTCCCATGGTCTTAATCCCTCTATGCTTAAGTATGATAATACCAAATCATATATTGGCTCTACCAATTTTTTTCCATTCTGTCTATTCAATTCGTATGCTCTTCCTTTATTACGTCAATTGTTACCATTACTATTGTCACTTTGAGCTGTCACCGGTATTATTTCACTTGTCATTCTAAATCATTTTTGTTTTGCAACGTTAAATTCTATGTTATCAAATTTCATACGATATTACGTAACGTTTTTATTTTATTCGATTTGCCTACTAATCGTATAATTGCACACTCCTTCCAAGTTCTATACATCCTATGGATTATTTTATGTATGACATTAATTGTTTTGCCACTTCACATTTAACTATGATTATAATCACAAATATTTTAATTGCATTTCATACTACTATGCATTCACACCTATGATTCAATTCCCTTACCGGATATAACTTCTTAAAAACTATATATATATATATATATATATATATATATACGATTGTACAGCTTCGTTGAAAAAAGTTTCTTTGCTGAATCACTTGTTTTGATTTTCAATATGTTACAATGGGAATTTTCCATGAATTAAAAGAAAATGTTCACTCACGGAACTTCGTAAACTAGGCCACTAGTATTCACTACAACGATAGCTAAAACCCTTAACTGTTTTCTTTTTCAGAATTCCCATTCATTCACATAGATCGGTAGTACTGGAATCACTGGTTTGTCATGAAAGTGAAAGTAGTTCCCCACACGCATTGTAGAAATGCATAATTCTACAAACATTCATCCACTTAGTTTGCTTAACTGTACATTGTTCACAAGAGATGTCATTATCTATTAGCACTCTCAAAGAAGATTTCACAAAAAATCCTTTCATATAATCATGTAGACTTAATGAGAAGAAATTAAATAATCATCAGATTGAAAGATATTATAAACGATAATAAAGACATGTTTTCATGGTTTTTCCTTTAAAATCAGATGAAATGCCGATTTCCGCTTTTAACAGTAGACATAGAAGTTGTTCACTTAACTGACCAACAAATCATGATATGCATTTATTATTTCCTCATTTTGTACTACTACATTTGTACTTCTTATGATCTTCACTTTACTATTTTTCAATTCCAGATGAACTCTACTCAATCCTGTTTATCATCTTACGTCACTCAGTTTTGCTTTATTCTCTAAGTGATTAATTCTGTACCACTTCACTTATTTAAGGAAATGCATAAGACCTAATACATGGGTCGTTGAGATGACCCATATCACAGACACAAAGGGCTTGTTTGACACTAACCAACTTGTATCGACTTTGACGCCGAAGTGATATCTGACTGTATGTCAAAGAACGCGTGTCCTGGATAGTAGTTCACCCTACCCTACCCTGCTGTACAGCTGTGAAATTTTGTCCTTGTAAGCCAACAATTTTTTCTGATGGGAACGTTAGGTGAAAAAGAATTTGGTTGAAAAGACTTAAAGTTAATCAGGAAGATGGAATCGTTAGCTTATGATTTGAGCTTAGTAGTTAGGTCTAGATTGCTCTTCATAGGGTTTTCCGAAATGCTTAAAACCAACAGCTGAAGGTTCTTTATGAGAATTGAATATAATTCGCGAATGTATTTACCCCTTGTCATCAAAATTTGAAAAATGTCCCCTAATCTTTATTTATTCTCTCAATCACACCCGCGTCTTATGGTTACTGTTTCACTTCGTTTCTGTTCCCTTATTTTGTGTTCTCCATGTAAGTCTGATAACTTAAAGTGATGCAACTAAGTGCCAATCCCTACTCTCATTACTTAGTGTCAAAATGTTCAAGATATTGGAACAAATCAAAGTACATTACTTAACCATTATCGAATAATACCTTTTTGAATTATTTAACCGGTGAAAAATATAACGTGACAGGCTTGATTGCCAACGACATATTTTCGATCGTTTTGAGTGCATAACAACTGCATATCGTACGACTGTAGACGTTAAGAGATGCGTACATCTCTCTCTCTGGAAGTTAAACGCATATTTTAATACCTAGTGAGTCACACGAAACTTGGAATTTAATTGCATGGCTTTCTAGACAAAATATCTTCAACATCTAACAACAAAAAACACATTGGAAGCAACATGCTTCCGTTGTGTATTCATTTTGTAAGCTTTATCCAATACACCCATCCGATTCGATCGAAGCAAGATATGGAAATTCTTTTTTTTTTCTTATAGAATTACACTTAAAGTAGCATGTAGGCGCAATTTTCGGTACAAAAATAATTTTTACATTGAGAAAATAAACACATAAATAATATTTAAAAAAGAGATTATACGAGGACTGTGTTTATTTGACGAAATTCAGGACCTTTGTGCACAGGGCGTAACCCAGAGAACAGTTTACTCAGATCCACCATTGCAAATGCGGAATGAGACAGAAGACGATCAAAATGCATTCGACATTGTAGTAGAATACTGGAAACCATCGGTGGAAGGGTAACTGTAAAAAATGAAAAGAAACTTCTTCATTGGCTTTTCGTAACCGAATTTTAGGGTTGCACTAACAACCTTTTTTTAAAAACATAGTATCAGACTCCATAATTATATATGCACAAACACTAATAAATAATCGTTAATAGGTTAGGTATAAATGAAAAGATACAAAATATCTGCGCGTTTCTCGAGGAGTGTTCAGGAATTTCCATACATCTAGTTCTTATGAATAGCAGTAACACTAACAACGAGACTTAGTGTAATAATAAATTATCTTCACTGAAACTTTCAATCTCATCTTTTAATTCACTAACCGCAGAAAATCACAGTAGATTTAATAACTAAATTGTAAAATCGCGCTTTTGCTATATGAACATAAATTCTTAGGAAATTTCTCGTGGTAATACCCGCAGAGAGAGAAGGAAGAAATTGTGAATAGAGAGGTTGCTCGGCTCCATCAGCAAATCAACGCTGGACTCAGATAGACCACATAGCGATAGGGTACAATCGGTGAGGGTCAATTAAAGACTGTCACTCATTCTGGAGCACGTGCGTAGACTCCGACTACACCCTGGTTCGCGCACTGTCTCTGTTTTGCATTTCTTGCTTTGTGTGCTAAATGAAGTGTGGCAGCTCAAACTGCTGCACATCCATGCAAGGTTCTATGTTGAAATCAGTCAGTCAGTTAGGTTGCTCGGTATCAGACAAGATAACTTTAGCTAGCTGCTTGCAAGAGTTAAAATGCCTATCAGCAACAATGTCAGTTAGTTGAATCAAAGGCACACCTCCAACTCTACACACAGCCTCTAATATTTTACGCAATATGACGTCTTTTTGAGAAGCCCTGGGAAGAATATGGAGGAACAATAAAGAGGAATGGGTGGTATACAAATTCAAACAAATCTGTTGTAAACGCACTGCGCATGCCTTAATAAAAACACAACAAAAATATTTTTGTACTCTTGACAAAGTTAAACTACTTCAGTTAAATCACATAACAGTAAATATACAATAATGCATTCACTTCATAAATGAAAGTTAACTAACCATCTATATCAATACTGGTCCCAGGATTCTTAGTGTTTGGTGGACTCACAAGATATCTGAAAAAACATAACTGCCTATACAGTTTTGCCTCTGAAAAATTGGATTTGAGCACTGCTTGACCTCCACAGGCAGCACAAAGAGGGCGTCCACCACGTGCCCAAAGACTATCAGACTCACCAATAGCATGATGACCAGAACTGGGTGGACAAGGGAAAGAACGTGTAATTGCACCACAGGCAGGATCTTCACAAGTCATCCAGCCTAACTGATATCGAACAATAAGGCGACGAGCTTCAAAAATCAAGCGGTTAGTAACAAGGCGAGTGGAATCTTGGGATAATAATAAATTGTGTGAACAAGTAGGACACTACAATAGACAAAACATAAACAGTTATTAAATCAAAGTAGACAATAAGTTATCTAGAAAAGGAAAGATGTTTCAGAAACAATCTTGACTGCAAAAACAACTCAGAACGAACAAACAAGATTAATAAATGTGAATATATCGATAGAAAGAGCGTACAAAAAACTTAATACAAATGAGCAACAAACTTTTTCCACTAACTATTCAATTAATTACGTGCTCACTAATCTTATTTTGGTAAAACTTATCGAGAAATATACTGAATATGTGACGATTAAGCAACGGACTGTAAATACCATTATCTGTGACAAATGCAAACATGACGTGGAGTTTGGAAGCGTCAGCAGTTTACGCATCTTGGACAATTAACAGTGAGAAACACCCAACATATGAAAGAAAGATATGTACATTTTCCAGTCATTCTAAACTAACAGTGTGTAATTCAATAACATGCCGTAATTGCTCAAGAAAATAGTCATTATCAATATAAAACCTAGCATTCTCTCAAAGCAGTAGAGGTTATTACACTATGCGTGTTCAGACCTTTAGACAAAAAAATGAAAGGTATAAGGAGTTTGCAAAAAACATATCCCACCAGTTTTATCATCCAGCATAGTGATAGTGAAGTGTGAAAGCAGTTAAGAAACAGCGTTATAACATTCACAACATTGATTTAATCAAGAATAATAATCACTAATAGATACCGCAAATAAAACAAAACACACTTAACAAGAAAACATACAGTACAGTAAATGGAAATAAAAAATATATCACTATAAATTGAAAACTTACAAACCAAGATTTACCAACAACACTGAAAGCAGAATTTGTGATGGAAATTGGAGGACCACCACAATTTCGTGGGCATGTAACGTAAACTGGATCAATATCTCCCGTTGTAACAGATGAAGTGAAGTTAGCGAGTCCACTGTCTGGGTTCTACAAGAAGAAATATATTATTATACTATATAAAAGATAACTTGCATTTTCATCATCTTCGTCCCCAATAGCAGTCGCGTTAGATCGTCGATAACCCGATGGATCCAATCCAAGGCAGTCAGCAATGCGAGCTGGAGATGTGCCTTCAATAGGTGCAACCAAGCGGCTAACAACAGGATGTATTTGGTGAGCCAAATAGTAATTCACATCAATTGAGAGGGTCCCCTGTGCAGATGATTCCGTATCTCGAAAGGAAAAATTGATAACATGATGCAAAATAACAGCATAGAAGATAAGGACGGACTAGAGAATAGAGATAATGTGATATGATTTTAAATGTTACATTCTAAATGGACAAGACAACAAGCTGAAACAATGATGGCTACAAGTTTATTAAAAGTGATAAAAAAATTAGGCATCGCGTAATTACTTAGGCTTGCTAAATTAATACGACAATTTAGACATAGCAAGGGAAGATGAATAAACAACATGTAACGAATATAATACAACCCATATCATGAAGGAACTAGAAGAAAGCCAAAACTCAGAAAAAAAGGTAATGAGGATGAAATTTATTTAACTATAATTTCTCATATAAGATGAATAAATTTAAGAGTAAAAAAAACCTATCGAAGGGTAAAATAACGAATAGTTTTATCATTAGTAGAGCTACCCTAGAGACATTTTTCGCACCCACTACACACCATTATATTTGTAAACTATTGAGCTGCCGATGAACACACACTTGATCAGATGTGGAGGAAAAACCCCTGAAGTATTTATGGTCTAGTTTATAGCTAGAGGAAAAACTTATGTTGAAAAGTGTAATTTCGAAGAGTGAACGAAGGCCATACCCTCTAACATAGCTATAAATACACTGACTTAGATTTACAATTGATATGATTATGAGCAATAATTTATGCTCGAAACGTCATCCAGCTGTTGATACTGTATCACTGTGTGATTATTAAAATAAACTTATCTAATATGGAATTTGTGAGTATTTATACAATCATACATAAATCACAAAAACACTACTAGTCTGTCAAGCTAAGGTCATCTCAGCTGCTGGAATCCTGGCTTGGATAGTATGATAACGCTGAACAAGAAATACATAGCACTCATTCATATGAAGACCAGTGATCGAATCGAAGCTCAGAATTATTTGGAGATCAGATCTCATAGCTAAGTCAGTGGAATCAAGAACTAGTAATCTACAGGTTTCTGGGTTTATTTACGCAGAGATTTATCCTTTGTTTCAACTTCGATCACTGCTACAATCCATCAACATAACGTTGTCAGGTTGAGGCCGTCTCAGGTTACTTCACTATTACTACAACATTGACATACGAAGTAAATTATACACGTGCATATATTCAGAAAACACTAACTTACCATTGGATACTTTAGAGGCACGGTTAGAAACCTCGGCTGGACTATAACCACGCTGTGTGGCCAAATGACCGGAACCATCCTCACAAATAATGTATTCAACTGTATCACCTGCACGAATTCGACGTGTAGCAGATTTTTTATCGCTTGTATTAGAACCATTGAGACGTAAAGCTACTTGCACATGAGGTTGACTTTTAGAATCAGCATAATCTTCTGGATTCTTAGTTAACATCTGAAAGGTTTACACAGGAAAAACCTCTAAACATAAAATAGTAAACTCAAAGATACAGACATGACAAGTTAGAGATACAGCAAATGAAACTGTACTTGATAAAGCGATGAGGGAAAAGTTGAACAATCAGAGTCAGTAAATACGACTCTGAAGATAATCTGTTCTACAAATCCAGTCCCAAGCAGCTTCTTCGAAAACACTTTTCAAATTATGCTACAAAAGTCAGAAAAGCCTTAATTTTCGTACAAACAGAGAAACAGATTATGAAGAAGATATACAGGTCATGATAAAAAGAAACTTAAAACTGTAGCATACTTTATGCTACGCAACTTTTGAATTAAAAAGTAAAAGAACTGAAAATAAGTTAACTAAACGATACAGTAACTAACTGTTCAATGTGATATTTTACAATAAACAACAGTATTGCACCAAAAGCATTTTTTATAACCTAGACAGCAGGGTTTAAAAAACAGAACATAGAAAAGCATACGAAAAGTCCTAGCCAATGTCGTCAACAAAGCATTCACGGCGATGATGAAAGCAGTTGATTTCCACTAATTACTATTATGTAATACTTATTGCTAAATATAGCATAAACCATTAGTGTCAATGGTTGAGAATCAGATAATACTGACTGGTTGACGGAAGTTAGATGGGTGGACCAGAGTTGAAACTCATTACTTAGAAGACGAGCGCTTATACTATTGAACCACAACAATCCGACTAAAGCAACGTCGCTGCAGATCACTTCATAAATTTTTTATAACACAGGAAACCACAAACGGAAATGTTGGACAGTGTACCACAGTACTCTGCTTTTAGTTTGTGCAACAAAATTTATCGGCAATTTATCCAGTTTATTATTTTATCTTGTCAAAACGTATCCTGTTGCTATTCGCTAGTAGTGGCTAGTCACACTTCGTAACACGTTAGCATAAAAATAGTAAGTGTGGACTACATAAAAACAAAACTTTTAATTTCTTTTAGAAGGAACTTACTTTAGTGATGATAAAATCTGAAATAGGTAACTTTCCTTCACGAACTTTTTCGGCAGTTTCTGTCAAGTCAGCATGTATACGATCTAATATGACGTCTTTAGGTTCGCCAGAAAGCAAAGCAGCCACACACCGACGCCCGACAGCCACAGCAAGTGCTGACCAATCCCGTCGAACGATATCCAAACCTTTCATTTCTTGTTTCGTAGAAACAACTTGTGGTGGTAATCCTTGACTAATCGCTAATTTCGCTGCTGCAGCCCACTGAATAGGATTGTTTATTGCCAAAGCCGCGTATTTCTTTTTAGCCAGAAGTAGCATAGCAGCGTAAACGCCATCTGTATCCAACTCTAACAAACGATAATGCTTATTAACTTCTTGGCGCACTTTTTCCCCGATAGCTAATGCAGCTAATAAATCCGTTGTATTAGTATTAACCATAATAGAATCAGTGTCACCGTAAATCACCTATAAGAATGATGTATAGGAAATTGAAAACTTGTATTAACAGAAAACTATTTCAAGTAATATATGTATTTCGATAATAGCAGATAAACATCATAATTACTTTACAATCCTATCGAGGAATATGGCATTTCAGCAACACTTAAAAACCTTACTAAGTAATTATTTCACAAGTTATTCTTTGATGAATATACTGGCTAAATAGTTAAAAAAAGAAATTGACAAAACTTGAAAAACTACTGAAAACTTGGAAGCAGTGAATGGTTATATCATCCAAGTATCAATTATACTAGAACTGAATATTTCCAACCTTAAACAAAAAAGATCAGACGACAACATGTCACCCCACGACCATAAAATTGAAGTGGTTTTCACAACTACCCGATTCATGAGGCAAATATCTCTCGAAGAAAATAAAGACGTTACTCAGAAAACTAAGACGGATATACAAAATAAGCTAACGAGTTCAATTGATGATCGAAACCGCGTAGATGTCTTTCCGGTGAATCCTGATAAGTATGTTACAAATCTTTCTGATATTACTCTATCTACTCATCAAAAGAAGCATTATCCCTTGGACTCAAATTTTGTGTTCCTCGCACGCACTTTACGGATTTAGCCATACATGCTGAGTTTGAAAACTTATACGACCAACTCAAACCTCTTACCGCAACATCCGATGAAGATCGGGGTTGGTTTAAGGCCAAGATGGTGGATATAGCTCATCAGTTTTTAAACAACAACCCAAACGAGAAAAGCATTTTAAATTCCCAGCATTTCAAAGCCTTGAAAGAGCTACGGGAAAATCCTAATATCATTATTAAGAAACCTGATAAAGGTTCTGGAGTCGTTATTATGAATAAAAGTGACTATAAATCTAAAATGATGTTTATTCTTGATGATAAAAGCAAATTTAGCCGTGACCCCTCCTCAGAAGATATCCAGTTGTTGCAGGGCACAGTGACAGCTAATCTAATGAAGCTTCAAGGCCTAAATGCTATAAGTAAAGAAAAATTTGACTCGTTAAAGCCATCAGATTGTAAATTCCCGCATTTGTATGGCTTGCCAAAAATACACAAACCCAATAATCTTCTACGTCCTATACTGTCAATGTGCAAATCCCCAACACATAAACTTGCTAAATGGTTAGTAGAATTATTGCATCCAGTTAAAACACAATTCTGTAAGCATGTGTTAAAAGATACATTTGAATTGATTGATTTTCTTGACAATAGTAATATTAATATTATGAATAAGAATATGTACTCTTTTGATGTAAACTCGTTATTCACTAATGTGCCTTTGCTCAAAACAGTTGACATTTTGTGTGATTATATTTCCACAAACAATTTTTTCATCCCGTTTCCTATATCTTATTTAAGGGATTTATTACTTCTATGTACTAACAATGTTAGGTTTACATTTGAAGGTGATTATTTCCGCCAAGTTGATGGTGTTGCTATGGGAAGTCCGTTAGGGCCCCTTTTAGCAGATATTTATATGTCGCACATTGAGAATTTATCGGAGGATTTAATCGAAAATGTGCCACTTTATAGAAGGTATGTAGACGATATTGTAATCATCAGTGATAAGTCTTGTTCTGCTACCTCAATTTTAAATCGAATGAATGAAGTCCAAAATAGCATATCACTTACATCTGTAGAAGAGGAAGATAACTGTTTATCTTTCCTTATGCTTAGTCGACGGCTTGATAGGTCAATAAAAAGATCTATTTATAGAAAACCTACCTGGACAGGACAGTATCTTAATTACCACAGTTTTTGCCCTGTTCGGTACAAAAGAGCCTTAGTAAGGTGCCTCCTCAGTAGAATCCAACGAATATGCATTGAAGACACACTTGATGCGGATGAAGGAAAGTTGACACAAACTCTGGTTGATAATAATTATCCAGACAAGTTCATCAGGAGATATAAAGTAGTCAGAACACCAAGACCCACTCTCCAACTCGCCCCTAAGAAAGACGTGTACATCAAGCTACCCTATATGGGGCATCAAAGCAGCTTGATAACTAGACAAAGACTGAACGCTGCTGTCAAAAAGACTTTTTATGCAGCCAATATCATAATAATAGAGAATGTTAAGCCAATATATCTATCTAAGCCCTTCGAACATGAGAAAAATGACGTCACATCCCACTGTATTTACCAATTTGAATGTACGTGTGGACACGCATACACAGGGAGGACTCATCGATCTCTGCAAGTAAGGGCTTCAGAGCATATTCCTAAATGGCTCCAGAAACAAATTGAATTTTCAGAACCCATTAATGGTGAGAACAGGAGACCTAGCTCCTCTATTGAGAAACATATTATAGAAACAGGACATAAAATTGACGTTAACAGATCTTTTAAACCTATCTATAAAACGTGTTTGGGGCGTATCCTAAAGTTTGTGGAAGCCCTAGCAATTAGAAAGTTTAAGCCACCTTTATGCGTTCAAAAACAATTTGTCATCACATTAAACCTTCCTTGGTAAATTTTGTTTTAACACCATAGCAGATGTACTATTACCTCTGTTATTTGGTGTAGTGGTCTTCATTGTTACTTTGACCTTGAATATGTCCTTTAAACTTGACCTAAGTCTATTTTCTCACCTCTTACCTCTTTATTAATTCCATATATATTCCTATGACAAGTCCGTGTGTGATCAGATTGTTCGAAATGTGTTGCGCAAATACATCACATGATTCAGACAAATTACGTTTTCTTATTGCTTTATCTAAATTCATTAAGGGAACTAATTGTTTTAAAGAAGAAAATACTGTAAAGTGACTAACAGTTAGAACTGGAAACATAAAAAAACAGCTAGGAAAAGTTCAACTAACTTAATGATAATATAAGGATGACTAACTTACTTCTAAATTCATATTCTCCACGAGGTCTCTGGTACTCATCAGCACAGCACGCCCTAAACCAGTAACAAGAGCAGCTAAACCTCGAGCACAGAACCGTGAGGCAGCAAAACCCAGACAACCATAAACACTATTCGCAGTTAGTTTTAAGGCAGCCTGTCTAGTATTCCATTGAGCGCGTTGTGCAGCATCACCTGACGAAGCGTTTGCCAATAACTTCTTGACTTCTCTGCGTGATTCAACTAGACGTCTGATTTCTGCAGGTAGTAAACCAGGATCCTGATCAGTAGGAAGCCGAACTTTCTTATCGCTAGATTTGAGAGCAGATGCAGCACTTGCATCACCACGAACACTGGCCAGTAAGGTTGCAACAATCGTATCTAGATCAACAGACTACACAGTATATAAAAATAAATTTTTAGGAAACGTATGGGGTTATGACAATTTTAAGAATTTACTTATAGCATTCAAACAATACTGTCAACTGTACCAATCACAAGCGTGGAGAAGCAGGAATGGTAAGCACAATACACATACAGGGGAGAACTACGTTGCTACATAAGCTGATTGGGAACTAAATCACTTCATCTTTAATTTCCATAGACAGTGTTAGATATCTTGTCGATTACCTTCAGTGATTTGTCACCACTTTCCTTTGTTTAATTGACTAAACTACTTATTAGTAGCATATGGTAAAAGTTCATAATTATTCAACGGTTGTTACTCTACAATAATGTTTATTTACATTCAATTGTATCACATGTCAAAGTTCTACTGCTAATGGTAAATTTTATCCCATGATTCGACTGTATCTACCGCACGTTACCTTTATGTTCTTCTCCCTTTTGAACCTTATTAACTAAAACCCATCTGGCCATGTTTAATACATTTACACGTTCTTCATAATTTGACTGTAAATCAATTTAACACAGCTCTGTTGTTGATACCATTGTGGCAACTACAGTGGTTTGATGACAGTCAGCCCATACAGGTATTGATTTAAGGTTTATAGTATATTGTTCAGAGAGCTTTGGATTTCATCAGTAACTCAAGTGTTTGATTTATGTAATCGAAATTTCAACTGACTGCCTTCAACATCAATTTCTTACAAGAAATCCACAGATAGTATCATATCTTGAAGAATAGCAACAACATACGACATTTAAGATAAATCTATTTGAAACATGCACATATGGATATTCAGAAGTTGAAATAAGTTGATATTCTTAGGTAATAAGTAAGCTTTCGGATTATTTACTAGATATGTATGGAATGATAACTCTAAGAATGGAGAATACATCACTTGGATAAAAGTATTGCTGAGCAGTTTAATTTTGAAGGTGCAGAAACAAGATGAGCCCCATAGTGAAACTTATTAAAACAGTACACCCACCCACCTCCTTATCAGATGATGTAGTTGCTACAAGTTCACGATCGACAGTGGTGAAACAAATATTAAACTCTTGAATAATAGATGGGTACAATGAGTTGAAATCCAGAAGTAATATGTATTTATCGTAGAAACCTATATCAAATAAACAAGTAGATAAATAAAAGCGGATAAGTTTAAATAACGAAGTTAACGTTCCATGTTCCATGCAGCCCAATAATAGTTATGTTGGTATTGGTATATTAGAAATAAGCCGCATTTATTTCACAGTACCTAGTCTGTTAGATAAATGATGCAATCAAATAATATTGGTTACCATAGGGTGTACAGAAGGCAAAGTATCATTACTAATCAAATCAATCAAACTCATAATTCTAGTATTAGAACATGAAAAGCACAGAGCACGATTAGCATTGAAATGTTTAATGCGCATATTCCTGTCACATATGTGATTTCAAGAGATAAAAAACATTAAATAATTTACGCAATTAGAACTACCAAATGACACCTTTACAAAAGATACTAATCACCTTTTTTAGGTTCAAGTACCAATCCTCCAGTATATGCAGGTTTCCTACGTCCTGTTCCCCCTTCCTCTGCTCCTTGTTCCTGGATTTGATCCCATTCATCCACGGGGTTATTTTGAACACCGCGTCGAGACACTGGTGGATCTGGAACAATGTACCCGTGTTGATTAAATGCATGCAGAAGTAAGGCTTCATTGCGCTCAGCACGACCACCTGACAAAGTGCGACTAAGAACATTACCACAAATAGAGGTGATCTGCACTGCCAGTGGCAAAACCTATAAGAAAGACAAACATGTGACTGAAGAACTCATGCTTATAGAATAGTTTATATGTTAGGTGATACAAAAATATTATGTATGAGAAATACATAATGAGATCTTCAAAGCTGTGGATTGATTTGCGAAACTACTAATCGTAAACAATTGGTTTACGAAAGACATATAATTTAATAACAGTTTCCTTCAACCGACAAAGTGAAGGTTATGCATAATACATGTAAACTGAGAATGTTCATATACAATCTTTAATACATTTTGATTTAAACTGATAGAGTATCATTATGAATTCAACATTTTTTATGATTAACTGCTTTTAGGAGCAATCATTCCACCATCCAACTTCACACAACACTACGCTTACTGAGCTTTTCTCTTTAGTAAGGCCTAGCGAATACGAAAATAATGATAACAATAATAATGGAATATTATACTTATTTCATAAAACATGCAGTTTGTTTCTAAGAATGAGAATTTGGTGAGCAATGCGACTTAGTGGAAGACCTCAGATCGCAACTATCAACCTTTTTATATTCATAAAAGTACCTCCGCCTAGGACAGTATGCATGCCCACTTTGCATTTCCCCACTAGCACATATGTTGAAACGTGTGTGATTCCTATATGAATAACTGAAAACCAACAGTCTCATCTAGATAGATACATTTACACTTCAAGTTTATGTCAAACCTTATTATTGCACATGGTAGAATAGGAAAATATTTGTTCTTATGCAAACTAGCAAAGGTAAATGTGTTACATCATAGAACGACTAACCTGTAGTTGATGACACAACCGAAGGACAAGGTGTGCATCTGAAAGACAAAAGTCAATTAACTGCCGAACCAAATCAGATGTAGAAAACAGGCATCTCAAGTCAGCAGAATCTATTTCCATGTCTGCTAATTCTGCGCCAAAACCCATGACAGAAATATCACTATCACGAATAGTTGTAGTATTGCCATTAATCCGACTCACTAAAACTGGAGGAACTTGACGTTTTGGAAGTGAATTTGCTTTTGAAGATTTATCATCTTTTTTAGAAGTTACTTCACCCAGAACTTGATTAGCTAGATCAGAAAGATTATACGTCCTTGATCGAACCAATTCACGGGCAGACACTTTTGTATCACAAACAAGACGCCCAGGCATAGAATGTCGAATAAGCCATGACTGAAATAAAGAAATTTATTCTACATAAAAGGATGCACCGGAAGGAGAATAATTCTGGGAAAACACTAACTGAAATGAACAAACAAAAGTTGGACCTACACATCAAACAGAGAAAAATATTTGCTTAGGCTGTATTCCATCATGTTTTCACACGTAAAAGCTTCACAAATCTGTACGTCTGATTGAAGAAAACGACCTCTATTGGCTGTAACACCATTGATGGTTTGATATATGTATGTTTATAATTTGAAATACGCCTTCCAATGAGATAAAAGGGATGTTGAATATTTCGATATATTGAATACCATTGTGATATAAATTGAAGTAATCTTCAGTGAAATGAATCCAAATTACAGCACTACTAAACACTAGCTAATTAAAAATAGTCTGCTAAACACTAAATATTGAATGGTACCAGTTATCAGTCATTATTTATCTAACTAAATGAACTACTTTAGTCAGACTACATGCACACTTTATACACGTTATTATAAACAGGAGAAAACTTACTCCGAACAGTTGGAATATAGTGTTCCACAAAGAGTGTAAAACTCATTTACGCCTACAGTGTATTTCTGCTAATCTGATATACCGAGCAATACCTATTTCAAAAGGATACCGCTGTAAAGGTTCTGCAACCAGAACATTGTAACTACCTTCACATAACAGATTGGTGCGATACAACAAGAAGTCTTAATCAGGCTTAAAACATTACAAAGCATTGACATTTTGAAGAAAATGAAATGATTGACGAATAGTAACTCATCTCATACTAGTATTTACTTAAATACATCCGAAAACCGTAGAAAATGTCTCTAACAAACCATAAACTATAACAACAATGAAAGTATAATAATAATTAATGCGCACTGCTATATAAGAGGATTAACTGTGTGCGCCTGCACAGACTGTGAGATCAGTTCACCTCAGAAACTCGGGAAGTTGTTAGGTCCTACTTACTAAATATAGTTTCGAAATATGCGAATAGGTTCTAATATACATAACACCATGAACAACTTGTATGTCTATGGTAATAAGGCGCGACACTATTGTACATGTATATAGTTTAAAAAAACGTTGATGAGAGTCTGTAAACATTTGAAATTACTTTTACAGCAATATGTCGCTAATGTATCATTAGCTTCATTGATATAATTATTTAATTCCTCGTCAAAATTATGCGAGCTAAACGCTAAAATTGTACCAATTTTTTGGTGGTGTCCAGCACTAAACCTTATTGCTGAGGACAGAATGATGTCATATGAAGATACTCAGAGTCACGACTGAGAGTATATACGTTTGCCTATTTTAAAAATTCTAAACTTTGAAGTAATAATCTAGATTTATTAAAATATAGCGTCAAGAGAAAATAACCACTGACTATTTATTTGTGAGCAGATGCCTTATCATAAAAGAATGATATACACAAACAATTAAGCAATGACCCTACCGCCTTTTACAGAAGACTGTAAGCAGTAATCATATAAAAATTGTAATCAAATTCCAGAAAATTATTGGCTTATCAACCACTTGTACAAAGACCATCACATGAATTAACGATCAAGCTATCAACACAAAAAGGACTCACTCGACTGTTCGAATTCAAGGAGAAATTAGCTGAACGCCGTAATCGTCCAATGCGATGCCAATGAGGCACTTTATTAGCATTCAGTCTCTGAATTAACAATTCGATTTGGTGTCCCCATAAATCATGACCAACAATTAAATCAGGATCAAGTTTATGCAGGCGTGTTAAGAATCTACCTAATAATGCACGTTCGTTGGGTTCAATGTCGATTCCGCCAGCCCCCGATGAACTTTCGCTTGGACGACTCTTATTTTTTTCCGCAGTATTTGGTGTTGATGGTGGTCCTGTATTTGAAGACAACCAAGTAGAAGAAGGAGGACTGTATTGAGCTCCATAAGTCGGTAATTTTGTTCTCAGATCATATGGCAGAGCTGCATCCTTTGGTGGTGCCAAAACTGAAGTAAAAGATAAGATACTTCCCGTTAGTAGCACATAAAATTCTGACTGTTTAAGCAAAATATATGCATACATCAGTTGTTAAGCACTTCCATTTCGTGTATCAGGCTAAAAGTCATATGTTTGAAGTGTGAGGATTTGCAATATTACCTAACTGAAAGACTGAAGTTAGTGGAATGGCGCATTGGTGAATGAAAGTTAAGCGCTTCAGAGAATAATACACTTCATCTTTAAAACATTTGTCCCTGGAGCAACTGAATAAACTACACTCTACGAACCAACGTCAGTTAGAGATTCCGAGAAGGACTGCACAGTGTAGGATTTTGGCACTGTGGTAGGATGATATGATTAGGAGCAACAATTTATGCTTTAAACCTCATTCAGTTATTAATACTGCATCACTGTGTGATATTTGAAATAAACTTATCCAATAGGGACTGGACAGCTTTTTCATCTTAAATATCAGTCTCCTGCAAACTGGTGACTACAGGTTGGATGACGTTCTGTGAAGAAGTCGTGGCTCATAGGGTTCAAATGTAAAGCGGATGCTCCTGTAGCTCTATATCACGAACCAACAGGAGTTAGAATTAGTGTCTAAACTTCCGAATGATCAACGGACTGACCCCGATGATGACATACATTGCTGGTGCTGAGAGATGAAGAATCACAAACTAGGACGAAACAGCTGTTCATGATACACTAAAGCACAGAATAATATATAACAGAATGTAGTATTCCATTGTTAAAATATAAATTAATGTTCTGTAGCAATCTGCCAGTACATATGAAGACAATCCCACGGAAAATAGTCTCACCTAAATAGTGTGTTTGAAATAGACTCTTTTCAATCGGTCTGTCAAGAAGGTACGCATTATCGATCAGCAAGCCAATAGAAACAATCTAATTTGAAGAAAAATACAAAGTTACTGTTACGAGTTAATCAACATTATAACAATTGAAATGCATTAAATAAGCTATTAGAACTTAGTTATTATACTAATTCCACATTGTTCGTTTCTCTGAATTCATGAATTCATATTATGTGCTGGGTATTACGTTCAGGGAATTAATCAAAAAGTAAGGTATTGCATCCGAAAGGATTCTCGTATTTACATTTTTGTTAAAAAGGGAATACAGAAATAGGCTCTCATCCAGCAAAACTTTCTGTGTTACGACACCACTTACAGTGGCATAATGGGATATGGAGAAAAAATTATAATGAACAGCTGAACACTAGTGGTACAAACAGACAAACTGCATATTATTTGCTTTCACTGTAGAAATTATGGACATATAAGATATACTGCCTCAGGCACTTGACATTTCTATTTTGTGGTTGTTAGAACCAAATGACCCAGAAGAGGTTTCTCCCACAAACCTCGTTGTGAACTACACTTGTCGTGGGAAGGCTAAAGGAACAACGCAGTTGCCCAGGTTGACGTAAATGAGCAAGGCAGTCGGATCCAGGACACACTGGCTGGTTTAAACTAATGAACCGCATATTTGTAGTCGGAATGTATTTTACGTTAACATTCATTCACGTAACCAACTGCTGTGAATATTTCTTGCACAACAGTGGCTTATAGATCAATCTGGGATTTACATATATAAACTGTTATAAGTCAACCGTAGAAAGTGTACAATATGCCAGTGGTTATGTTAAAAACCAATCTGACAGAAAGTTGGCGAAAAATTGATGTGCAAAGAATGATAGAGTGTTGTCACCATTTATCAACTTTAAATCTAATACTTAAAAATCTATAATGCATAAATGTCATTTTGTATAAAACTGATGAATTTGTAGTACACTTTCTATGAGCCGAACTGCTATCTTTCACTAATTTTAGATAGACAAATAGGCATGATAAACGGTAACAGACAATGCAGTACTAATGAATAAGGCTACTGAAAAATTCTATAAAGAAACGCTCACCTCAGAATGACTCGAATGTGTTTGGGTAACAGATTTTATGTTGATAGCCGCAAGACACAGAGGTGGAGCTGGAGGGATTTTTGTTAATACGGATGAATTATCTGCAGATGATTTCTGGTTTTCAAAGAGTGTAGATAATTTTATCATTGGACATCCACTTCCCGATCGCCAATTCACTTCATAATCAACTTGACACCAACTTATTTGAGGTTGAATCTGAGCTAAATTAATAAACCACAGTTAATTTTTACAGATAAAATAAAGGCGATTGGTGTAACACCCTAACCGGAGTAAATTAGAGTAAAATACTGCAATTTAATTTTATATACACAGTAGTCGATTATTTATAGTGAATTAGTATGAAGAACAATACTACATAAGCCTTTGCCATTCAACAACCTAAAAGTACACAATCCTACTCATGTTCCTAAAACAATACTTTTTCGCCTGTTTGATCTGTCAACCACTCCAGTTACAAGATTTATTGTCATCATTTAGTCAACAATACTCCTGTTGGAATTCATTTATAAACTGGAAGGATCACTGAAAGTTCCATAAGAAAGATGTCAACATTCCTACGTACAAGAGAATGCAACAACTTAAAATTCAATCCTATATTTGTGGAATCTTCTTCCTTTACAAGTATCCATGATGTGATATCCCGAATAAGGACTAGCGTTCTTCAACTCACTTTTAGGAAAACAAGTAGGAAGGCAATTTCTAGAAGATTTTATTAAAAACAAACAACACTTCTGACAGAGAAAAAGTAGCACTATTTCTAATCTTTTAAGTAATCTTCATTTTTTTTTATTTTGGTTACAGCTTGATGCCACACAGTATTTTCAGTACAAGTATGACATTTTCAGCATGGATATCGGTAGCCCGAATTTCGCAGGCCGACCATAGATATCGGGTGTGCGTCGGCAGGGGATCGAACCCGGGACCATGTGCATGGTCGGCGAGAGTCCTAACTACTGTGCCACCGACGCACACTTATTCAACGAAATCTACAGTGGGACAAATCCAACTCTCATAAACCTATAATCTTAATATTAATCTACTATCTACGAATACCTAGATGCACCATAAATTTACTGAACTTGCAAAGAGAAGTGCTAACCGGTAGATTCAATCGGGCAGCATGCGAGGACGGATATTCACTGATGGTAGTAGAGGGAGGTGGTGCTACAATACAAATTGGAGGAATACTGAATTCATGGGCCAATGAATCTAGAAACCAAAAACTGATTAATAGCATGCATGTCTCGTACTCTAGCTGCCACCAATTCGATCTATGTTCGGGTCGCGGATAAACACTGATGAAACTGCTAGAAATATTATTATTATTATGCACTTCGCAGATTTCAATTGTTTATCAACTGGTGTCAGGTCGTGATGCAAACCAACTTGAAATCGATCCTTATCATTTTATATGGAATAACAGACGCATGAAAACCAACAGAACAATTCCTAAGATTACGATCTCCACCAAATACATTATTTCGTCTACAGTATTATTCAAAGACGATGACAAAACTGAAAAAACTAAACATAAGGTAAACGCTAAAAGGAAGTGTAGATATATTTAACATGCATAGTGATAAAAGTGTAAGGTGTAAGCTTACAGGCGTCTTTGATTTCCAACCAACAAGGACCACGTAATTGCAGTTCGAGGATTAGATTTTCCAAACTGTAGGGTGTAAAAATAACGTTAAATAAAGTAACCTCAGGCATGAATAGTTTGTTGTTAATTGCAGAAAATCAAACCTTTTACTAAAAGCATTTATCTAATATAAAGTCTTTTGTACGGTTAACCTCCTAAGAGAAATTTCTTAAGCTTCACTGAATGTGACACCATTTACTTTTGTGACTTAAGATAATACTAGATTTGGTAAGAGGTTGTATGGAGCTACGACTGACACATCGATGAGCTTTACTGAATATATTAAGACTATCTTGTTAAAAAAGTAATTGCAAGTTTATATCACTAAGCTTTAGTTACAAACAATATCTGAAGGGCTTACAAGGAGGGGGACTGATAATAACAGTCATACATTATGAGTACAGAAAGTGAACAAAAACGAAGAGGTTTGGTAACAATCTCACATTTGTTTGGCATGCAAAACATTTGAATGGCTACTACTACTCGTAAGTTTCTATGACATTTAATAAAAACAGTAGTTTTCCATGGGTCAATTTCTAATGATGCCAGATCAAACAAATAAATGTGGGATGATATCCTGTCTCAACTGCAAGGTCTTATTCTCATATGCTCAATTGATTAATTAAAGGGCTTCCATGATAAAATCAAATTTAAGGCGAAGGCAACTTACAATGAAGTATTTGTACCAAAAACGTGAGAAAACGTTCGACCTTGAAGATCAGCCGGCAAGGCTGGATATGATGCAGCATAACGGATCTCAAGATACTCGCTTTCTTCAGGAACATTAGCAAACTCGAAAGCATAGCGTTTTGTAGTGGCCTGATACAAGAAATGAAAACAGAAAAGCAATAACACCGTCAAAAGATTTGACTAGCTGAGTGTAAGATATGGTACTTTGGCAATGGTTTTAAATACGAAAATATGCTTCTGTGCAATGCTCGTTTTAAGACGAGTTGACAACTGATCATTTGATGTACAGACAAAAAATTCAACCAAAACTAACACAAATGATATTTTACACAGTTATGTTTCAATCTTATCTGCAAAACAGTTTTAACTGATTCAACTATATGATTAACCAATTCTACAATGAACCGACGGTTTAATTTCATAACAGAATTAAAATGAAACATAAACATCAGGTTACATAAACATAACTGATGATCATCATGCGATGAACTGGAGAAGTAAGGCAGGTAAACATTTAAGAGGATAGAAAATTATACAGCTATGCAATAGTACATGTGTTTTCGCTTCATTGTAGAATTTGTGGTTCATTCATTTAGATTCGAACTCTGTGAATCAATGACGCTTGCACAGACCTTTTAGTGATTGCCGAAGGAGGCTGATTCGACACATTCATAAGGTGGTGAAAATAATGAAAAACAGAGCCTCACGAAACGACAAGCAGTGAATGGATCAACAACAACGATATATACTATAGATACTTAAAAAGACATGGAAAACGCACCAGAAAGATAGACAGGATTTAAGATACAGTGAAAGAAACAATGACAAAACTAAACACTAGGACAAAAACCATGACAAACACGAGAATACAAGACACGCACGATGTTTCTTTAACAATCTCCTTAAGATGTGAATAATTTACGTAACGAACTAAGAAATTGAATGCATAAAACAACATGGAACTAAGACAGAATAATAGACTAATTGTTAATATGCAACATATATTTTATCAGAACACGATATTCACCTAGATAAACCTTCATAATTATTCATAATTAAACACAGCTTATTCAGTGAATGGAAGATATTCAACATAAATGCAAAAAAAGCAACCTCTGGCCCTAGATGATAATGTTATTATACATTCCCTGCATTTCTGGTGGAACATAGGATTTCGCCGACACTGGCAATACAACTACCCACAAGCTTTCATTTCTTCCCAACATGATTGCCATATCACCCTTGGACCCACGCCCCAACTTCACCCTTCCCATTTGGGTTCCACTATGGGGCCTGTCTGACCTGTAACGTCACTCCACGGTCTCCTCAGCGTCTGTCTGATTCATCTACTTTTTTTCTGTATATTAAGTGGGTAATGAGTTTGGGCGCGTCCGTTGCATGGTAGAGTTGCTTGTGACCTGCCATCTGATCATCAGTATTGAGCCAGCAAAGGCAGCTGCTAATGTAAGTTTGAAGCAGCCTATTGGATATGCTTTGGCTGACGCACCATATAAAAGCACTTAGTGACTATATATTAGTGTTGAAAAATAGGAAATTTTACTTTGTGCTTAGTGCTGTAAATCTCCACACTGACTTCACAGTCACGAACACCTGTCTCGCTTACCAGTTTCCAACGAGGCCTTGACATCCTTATCTTTATCACTTGTAGTTGAAACGACGCTGCTCCCGTATGTGAAAGGGACGACTTCATTTAGATTTTTCCCATTCATGATGATTGATGCTCGTTTTTTGTCAGGTTTCCTCATCACCTCTGCCTTCCTTATATTTGCCTGAAGTCCTGTCTTCTCTGACTCTTTTGTCAACTTGTTGGTTATCACTTGGAAATCTTCAAACTAGTGAAATGTGAGGTATCAATTATCTGAAAGCCTCAGTCACACAATACTTCAGAAATGAAAATTGACTAACTGCTAAACTGTCTAAAGACTCACATGTAGAGAAAATCCCCATCAATAAGGCCTTAAGTCGGAGGTGGGTGGTTTTTGAAACAAAAATAAATTAACAAGCCTCCAACCAAATGAGTTTTTAACAGCCAGGCAGTACCAATAGACTACACAATTGGCATGGCCCGTTGCCAACTTCACACAATGTCACACCAATAAAAGTTGCAACGAAAAGTACGATTTGTATATATGAACAGAATAATACATACCTTACATCTAAACTTTCCAATTTTATATTGTGGAGTCATATCACGAAATTCCACATAGACGTCTTTAACTGTAACAGGATTACCATCCTCAGTCTGGAAAAAATAAAAAATAAGTTCCATGCTACGAATGACAATAACATTTTTAACATTTTTTAACTAAGGTAAACTCTAATGATTAAAGTATGACAGTTTACAGAGAAATCAATAACAAAGACACCTATGAGAAAGTATAGGTAGTTATTTTTCAAATATTGGTTTTGTAGGGATTATGTTTGATTGGTTGGAGGACTTCATCATGAGCTGACATCAGTTAGAGAACCATTGGAAAACCTGGGAGTCCGGTATAGCTGTTTCGTCCTAGTTCGTGACTCTTCATCAGTATGCACCCACGGGGTTTGAACCCAGGACCTTCTGGTTATAAGGCGAGCTCGTAGACCACTAATTTATTTCGAAAATAAAAATGAACAGCTGGAGAAAATCATATAAGCTACTGGCTACAAAGTAGCTCATGAATATACACAAGTACTGAATGACGTGATCAGTGAATGACTGTAAACACGCCCCTGGTGAATTATCCATGCAATACCATTAAAATTGCAGCAATTCGTACTTCAGAGGACATGCTCATTAGCACACAACTTCACCAATGATGCAAACTTTGTTCATCAATCCACCACATCATGAATAATTATAATTAATGATATTTCTGGCTAGAATTTTATATTCGGTGGCTCTATTTTATATTAACGATTATTTTGTTGAAGATGAAAGTATCTGAAATGGCTGTTGGTTGGCAGCCTATAATTGATATAATAGGTGATGATTGAAGGTGAAATGAAAATAATGGTCACGATAGGATGTAAACCAGCAGCCTCAAAACCATCTGTACAGATTCACAAATACCACTCACATAGTGAACATGTCATTTTCACGCCTTAGTAACCGCAGCTTGTTTTATTTAGTGTTACATCACCTCGAATGTATCCATGCAAATTTATGAAATACAGAACCAATACAAATTACCACAAGGATAAGTAAACCAACCACAGTCAAAATCATAAGGATAGGTAGCTAAGCCAATCACGGAAACTTCCCAAGAACTCAATTCACAATGAAATAGGCGCGGAAGATGTTTTTTTCAGAGGGACAATGGGAGCTTCGCAATTAAGCCAACAAGCTCAGAGAATTCAAGCACACTAAGAACACTCACTGCAACTACGGATATTTTGCATTATTTCGAGAACCACTACCAATTGTTATGAAAAAAGATAGTCTTCTTACTTTACACAATTCTAAGTTACATCTATCCAAATAAATCTATCTTCGTTATGCTACAAGAAGGCGAGAAGATGGATGAACTTTCTGTTCAAAATAGGACATACAGGAGTGAGAAGATAATCCGAAGGGTTACTGGTCATTAATAAATCAATTCCCGGACGCTGTAACAATGCAGCAAAACAATGATTCTACACAGCTTAGGTACCTAGTTGTCTACCTATTTAAAAACAAATCTGATACAGCATAGACGCACCAAGAAATGTGTCACACACAATAAGCGAGCAAAAATAAAAGGAAAAAAGAAATAAAACAGTTGAAGATTAAGCAGAATGAAGTAATTAAGTATGCTAATAGAGTATATTGAACACAGCATTCGTTACGTCATGAACTTCTGGGTAGCAGGAAAAAAGGAACCTGTAGCATGTTTACTATTGATTTGATTCTAAACCGCATCCTATTTCTCAAACTAACGAGTTAAACGATATATCAGACGACAACCAGAGAATCTTGACGCTAACCGAATCTCAGTGCAATGTCAAAAGATGACCAACAATTAGTCAATTTCAACCAGTTTCAGGACCAGTAAATACCAAACGATATGAAAGACTCATAATAAATGTGCATGTTATTGAAGTGATGGTTTCAAGACTACATCACTAATTGAAAGATGACTCTCACCTTGTCCAAACATGCGTCACCAGACTTAATAATTACATACACAACAACGCAAACAGATGCTAACAACCTTAAAGAGACAGACATGATCGAACAAGCAGAGACACTACACTCTCAGCTTATCTTACAACATTACTAGGTGCATACCATACTTACGAACACTAAATACCAAATGAATAAGATTTAGGGAGTTTATATGTTATTGCACATCAAGATGAAATCTACATGCTCAGAGTCAAATATCTTTTTCTCAAAGCCAGAGATTTTGCACCACCACGCACATTCTATCTAAGGCTGTCATAAGAAACTCGATGGCAGAGTTACAGAGATGTCATGAAATGAAGTGACCCAGTTTAAATAAAATGCCGGTTGTCAGCAGTGGTGAGAGGTAGTTTAATGACGAAAATCTATCTTAGGTGTTTTTGTACAAGGCTTTGATGATGTTGATAAACTTTCCAGGGACAACCTTCTGTAAAAGAAAATTTTAAAGAACAGTCCAACGACTGAGGGATAGCTTTGTTGCTTAACAGTTAAAAAATTGCTGGCCTGCAATGTGTGAAGAAGAGAGAATACGAGGTCAACGTAACAAGGACCTTAAATAAATTTAGTCCACTCAAAAGCCTTCGCGCGTTCCACAAAACCCAAGATACACGGCAACAACCAGAATTTTTAACTCGATTGACATTTGATGCTTGCATTTTGATTACTAAAGTTCCTGACTTAGATTGACATGTTCGACGTAACACTTTCTTTTGTGTTCGGACGACAGTCCATTAACTCAGAAAAAGTAATCTCATTTATCCATGCATACACCACTCACTGGAAAATATAGCTCCAGTCATACCTCCAGTCGTTACGCTGAAGTCATTACTCGAATGAAGAGGTACAGATTTTGATGAAATGGATACCACGACAACTGTAGGTGGAATGTAGTTAATGACTCAATGTAAACGGGAAAAGTGAAACAGTTCCGCAGAAACTTTTCAGAATACTATATCACTGGGAAAAAACTTACTGATGTGTTTCGGGGAAGTAGAAATACTCGTCGCTCGATGTCCTTAACGCGTAGGCAACAGCTTGTATAATTTCCAAGTTTAGAGTGATCATAAAGTTTGCCAAAAAGGTAAACGATACCTAAAAGATGAAGGGAATGTTAACCAAGGAAATGAATTTTTACTACAAAGAAATAAGAAAATACGAAACAAGAAGCCAAACAAATAGTGCGTAAAGTGAGAATACTCGCTGAATTCTAAAGATGATCAGCCAGATTAATTCTCCAAAAAGTATATCACATAGTGACATCACATGCTATTTTGTATGAATGTCTAACCATATATCCTTGACAAATTGTTACCACTTAACACTCCAGCATGTTGTTTATTATGGGATCCTACGTGTGATCTACTTATTAAGTTAACTCACCTGATGAACACCTCCCATCTTGGTTTGGCAAAGATCCAAATAAAGCTATACGCAGATCAATACTAGCTCATATCGTCGATATTGACCGGACATCAAGTCGACTCTGACAAAGCTTTTAAAGTTATTTATCGTATATCACCCAACCTCTCGCAAAGGGTCTTCAAGTGCAATTTTTACTTACAGCAGAAGCAATCGGAATTCATCTGAACAAACCAAATCTGTGTTCAAAGGAAATTTGTACAGGCCCTTCCTTTGCCATGGCCAACTACATAATATGTATTAAGTTTTCAAAAACGATCTTTACCCTCCCCTTGTAAATATCTTTTGACTTTGTTAATTTTTACAATTCTAGATAATTCTATTAACTTGTTTGTGTTTTACGTAACTCCTCTGAATCATCCTTTTCTTTTTAGTCATCATCACTATCTTACTAATTTCCTGATCACGCAATAACTTATTGCTAAAGCCTAAGAATCAACTTATCTTGAATTCCGTAATTAATTTTCACCTCTCTTTTAAAACTTAAATATCTTGTTACTAGCATCTATTAGTTATTTATTTTTATGATCTTTAACCTCTTAATTTCACCCCCGCCTATACCTAAAACTGATTAACTACAATAACCCCTTGATTGGTAAAACATTTTGATGTAAAAAACTATATATTGGTATAGAGCCGATGATGGGGAACTAATTGAAAACGAATATATTTCTTCGCTCAATCTGCTGTTTTTTCTAAATGCGTAAACAGGAATTTGAAAATTAAGCCAATTATTATAAAAATCGAGGATATAAGGCACAGGTACAGAATGGTCTAAAGCTTGATGACACCAAGTCATGATAGCAAACCCTCAGAACGACTGTATTAAGTGTACGATCAATTTCTATCAATTCATTCGTTTTAAAAAAACTGAAAGTTAATTCGTGCACCCGCAGTTTTGATATTTTGTAAGAAGGTTGTGCTACCGAGACCAGTGTCTTTATCATTACTAAGTTTGTAAAAAAAATCTAAAGAAAACCGTTTCAAATAAAGATATACCCAGAGCGAATCTGAGGAAAATCTTCAGTGGGTAAACACGTCTAAATAACCTAAATTTCATGGGGGAGGATTAAAATAATTTGCGTTGTTTCGTTTCATGTGACAATCCTTATCTGAAAACTACATAATACGAAATCTGAAATGAGGTAAACAACCTAAATCTGCAGCAAGACTACAAAATAAGCATCCCAAGACATTTTTAGTTGTTTCTTAAAATAAACACACACCTGGTAATTGTTTGGAATCTTCATAAGCATCAAACCAATAAAAGTAGAGTACATTTCCTTTGTTTGACGACGAAGGGAAAGAAACTGAGTCTGTTTCGATTATCCACGTCGCATCATCAGTGTTAACTAGGTTTTCAGCTGCTAGCCAACTAGCAGTTAGATCTGTAATCGGTTTTACACTTGCATCAGAGGCTGGCTTAGTTTCAGAAGTTTTGGGAGTCAACTCTTTTGGTTCGGTAATTTCTGCCTCAAAATCCAACGTAAATTCGGAGACATCCATTTCAGAAAACGGTGTTGTATCTTTTATCGGTTGGGAAACATCTGGAAAAAAAAGACGAAAATCTCTGTACATTATTAAATGGCTAACGGAACCACCTGTTGTTGGATAACACAGACAATCTTGGGTGTTTGCTGGTAAACCACTTACAATAAAATACACAAATAACCTTCTCTGAACAACAAATAGTTTCAATTCCGTTTCTACGTAATAATTGCGCATATGCTTTGTATACTTTGATAGTTGCCAGCATTAGGTACACAGGAGTATGAACCATCAACATAACTGTCCCGATGCTTTAAGTGTAATTCATAACCATATATATTATATTGTGCATAATCTTACAATGCAAGACTAATATCAGGATATCTAAGTAACGAAAATTAACAAGTACATAATATCATAAATTAGCCACACATAAAAATAAGGAAGAGGACCAGAAACATTTGACAGCATGAATAAAACAGGTAACTATTAACTCTTGTGTCAAGAAAATAACGCACACGACAGGTACTTAAATAAAAAGGGTAAGGTCCCCAACGGTAAATCTGGTTAGGTTATTCATAGAAAGATGACTCAAATGAAAAATTCTTCAGTCCTTCTGATGTTCAGTATTCTAACTAGTTTTTAATAATAAGAAATACTTACAAAAGTGCACATGCAGCAGTCTCAAAACGTCAGCTTTGAACACTAATCTGAGACTCATGTGATATGACTCTCACTAATTACTAATGTCCGAGAAAATTGATTTTAAATCCCAAAAATATGGACCAAACATAACCCAAGTATTCATAGGAATACAGGATGTAACACAAAATGCTCGCAGATATCAATTTTGTACAAAAAACATACGTATTTCTGGATCTTCGGTCATTTTCGCTTTATTCTCTTCTACTCTTGGGTCTGTTTCTGTGAGGCCTCGACATGAAAACGGATTGCGTGGTCGTGGACTAGGCTGAATATGGGGAGAACAATCACTTTCAGATACTGAGGATCTCTGTGGGTGATCTTCACTAGAAATATGGCGTCGTTCTGATTGTTCAGGTGAACGGCGTTGTGAATATGTCAGTTTATCCGTATCGCGATAATTACTTCTGTGTTGTGGTTTAGGAGTCGTTCGAATTGTTTTCGGGTCCACACTAAATTTAGGACGACGAATTTCTGGTTCCGCTACAGAAGATTCTAATTCTGCCAGTAGATCATCCAGATTTGGGTCCACAGAAAGATCTTTTGTTTCCTAACAGTTTTCAGTGAAGTAAATAAAAGACACGAAATAAAAGTACACACAAACACACAAAACAAGCAAAAGACTAAAAAAGTAGAAACATTTTAGTGTTCCGAAATAAAATTTAAAATGTACAGATGATAAGGAATGATTACTCATAAAACCACACTAAGTATTTTTAACTCCTGAAAACCAATGTTTAAACCTAGTTTACATCTACTGAAAATGTTACTTTTGGACTTTTAATTCTTTTTGCCTCACAATCAAAGCACTTTACAGATAAGTGACAAAAAAGAAAATATTCGGTCATCAAAGTATTGTTAGACGGAGCAAGTTTTTAACACATGATTGAAACACTGAACTAATCTTTGTTCATTAATCTGATGTGCAGTAGCATAGTTCATGGGACTAGTCAAAAGACAGCAGCACAGGCCACTACACATATCCAATAATTCGAGAATTGATTTGCCGAAGCCATACATTACTCAAATTAGGGTAACATTTTTATTTAATGTTAACTTTTGTCAATTTTGCCTTCAACGATAAAAACATGGCCTCCAACAAACATTCCGAAATGGATTTTTTCGCTGCTACATCCCACCACAGGTAACACTATACCATAACTCTATATTTTAAACTTGCCATTTGGCTGTGAGAAGCATCTCCGGCATTATTCTCCCCTAATCAATGTTTATGCACAAATGTAAGCTTACACATAAACCTTAAACACAAAATGCGTCATGAAAATAGAGAAGTGAGCGGCCAATTTCAACAAATCTCAACTCCTGAACAGATACTTTGGAGAGAATGAACATAATTTAAGAGTGAAAATGAAAAAGCATGCAGAGCATGTGGGATTATCACTAAATTTTAAAATTCTCTAATTTTTATATCCAGTAGAAGCATGAATCAGACACCGTCAGTAATTCCAATTATTACCTACCAAAGTTTTTCCTACTCAAAGTGACGTTCAGAAGCAGCAGTAAAGCCGGTCTGATAATTACGTGTAACAAATTGAAATGAAAACCCATAAGAATTTGAGAAGTGGCATTATAATTTCACAGAAAAGGACAGTTAATATGCTTGATTTTTACTTCCTTTTTATCCCTCATTCACCTAAATTGTTCAGTTTATATTGAATTCCTGTGCTTAGAACGGTCTTGAGTGTTCCATTAGATTCGATTTAGGTGAACACAAAACACTGTGACTAAATCTTTTAGCACACAAAACATCTCAGGCTACCAGGACAATAAAGGAAGGACATAAGAGTAACATCATTTGAACGAGATATTAGGACGCACAACTAGACGGAACTTTGTCCTGTGTAATATACGCTCTCCACTGGAGTACTGGTGAGACAACAGATTTGACATGCTAATAAAAATAAAAGAATCTAGGACTCACTTTTCTTTTCTTACTAGGATTTGAACTAGCAGAAGCCGCAAATAAACTGCGAATATCACGGCCTACAGAAGGACGCAGCGGTGCTGATTCACTTGCACGGATATCAGGATTAAGTCGTTTCTTCTTGGACACCTTGTTTTTCGTTTTCTGCCTTAAGTCACACAGTTCTTCATCTTCATCATTATCATCAAATATTTCCCTGCCGTCATCTGCGTAATCACATCCTTCTGCGAATAAAAATTACTCAAACTTGCACTTAATCCAGTGAAAACAGGCTAAAAGACATTAAGAATTAAACTTGGCAAGCCGGAACACTTTTTTATCCCCTAGTACATGATACGTAAAACAAAACACAGTACTTTGTTACCCAAACCCGATTTCCTGGGACTCAGTTTCAACGTAAGACCCAGAGAATGAAGTTTCACAAACATATCTTTGAAACAATGAAATGCCTATTAGACCTAAAAATTTAAACCACAAACATCCAAAAAACAACAGAAAGAGCAGAAAACACCAACATTAAATCCGCATAGTGCACACCTTACTCACCTGGATTTATCGTCTCTTCGACAAATATTGCTGTTGTGCAGTTCAAGTCTACTTTTACAAAATAACAAACTTGTCTGAACTCGAACACCTACATGACTGACCAAAGTTACTTTCATAAAATTACCTTAAGCAAAAACAGCACGTTAAAATATAGGTAAATGAAAACCTATCTCAAGTGAGGTGACTGAGATGCTGAAACTGTCTACCTACCATCCGCTGTCCTTTTAACCAAAAAACAAAACTGGAGGAGTACAAGCGATCGAGTCAAGACGACATAGTTCTATAGATTACCTGTTGACTTGAGTAGGGAAAACGCTATTCCATCTAAATCAACGAAGTAATCGGAACTGATTTTATGCAATATGGCTCGCAGTGATGCACATGCGCTTGTTTTCAGCCTACTCTAACTTAAAATGTCACATTTTTATTGGTCTAAATTTATACCTAATTAGTGTTTATGATACTTTCAACACTACCCTCATTACTTTGTCCTTCAAGCAGTCTTTAACTCTTGATGCGGGAATTCACGTCTGTTTGAACGTTTTCTCGTGGACTGTCAGCAGATTCAAAGTATGCCCTGGGTCAAAGTAACATGTTTTGTTACGACTACTATTAAATATAACTGATCCAACTGACAATTACATGAAAGCCATTCAGAAAAGACCGATATAAATACCAGCATATAGAAGACAACCATATTTCACATTTAATTCATTCAACTGCAAGACCATTTAGAGACTCCATACATAGTAAAAACTGTATAAAAACAGGACTTAAGCTTTTAAGAATGTATGTATTTGCCCTTTATGTGCAAAGCAACGTTTTCACACTAACCGTTATCAATAATCCAGTCGTCCTCTAGGCGTTGACGCACCAATTCTGCATATTCTGCCTCGTCAACAGTATCATAAACTGGCTCTTCTTTCCTTTCCTTAAGAAAATAATAGGCGGGTACTTTCACTTACAATACGCAAGCGCTCCCCCTTTTCCCTGGCTTCACGTATTCTGGTAAGCAGAGCCAGCCTAGACTCTTTGGTATTGCTAGGTTTCCGTGCATTTCTAGCTCCTGAAACAATAAGTTAGCATCAAATACCGTCCAACCTTCCATTGTCAAAATAATTTCAAACAGCCGGTTACACCGCGGTTTCCTGACCGTGAATAGTAGTAACAAAAAAGTGACCTTCAATATTTAGGTATTAAGGTAAACAGTGTATCCCTTTAATCACGACATCGTATTAGTGATTACAGAAATTGGAAGTTGAACTTTTTCCCGTCTATATTTTGCGAATATTCGTAAAGATGAGAGACAAATTTCAAATTCAGATCTTTTGGTTCAGGAAAGAAGGTGCATAAGTTTTCGAAATGTCATCCAGCTCTGAGTACTGCATCACTGTGTGATATCTGTAATATACATATCTATTCAGCATAAAAGGTTTAAAATTGGTGGCTAGGATTTGTGCTCAACTAACCTCTCCTCAAACCGGTTAACTGAGAGCTCATACTCAGTTTCCAGGAATCGCTTCCGAAAGTTAATGAATTGGGGGAAGAACTAACACTTCACAGTGATATGACTACCGTATTACCTCTGGATTCTTGCCGCATCTTCCGAGACGTTATGATTTCTTGGAAAGGAAAAACGCAAGATATATGGGATGCATAGTTATTGTTGGGAATTCTTAACATATTTACGACATCTGATGATAAAGTGAAGGGATCTCCTGTTAAGTCCTTCCTTATGTGATAAATTGGTCGTGCTGAGGAATATGCCCTTGCCCTTTCCTTGAACTTTTTCTACAATGTGAATCTACAGGGCCTACACAAGAAAGTATGCTATGGACATTCAGATCTAGTCAGTGATTAATAGATTCAGAAGGATGAAATGAGTAAACAAGTAGGAGCTATAACACCTTTGTAATTTATGGAGTTTTCCCCATTTACTGAATGGCGGATGCCCTTCCATATCTTTGACTGGGTCTCCTATTTTATCTGCCAACTACTGTTATTTTAAAAAATAAAGAATTAAAGGCGGAATAAGTCTTCCACAACAATGCGGGATATCGGCCAGTAACTTTTTTGTCACAAACGCTGGGTTGCAAACTGTTTTTGCCGCATTACAGAACAACAGATGATGAAGCCGTAAAGATGTGGCTAATTCAGATTAGCGGCTGTTTCCATCTTTAAACAAGTCGCCTGTTGTGCTTGGAGACTGTAGTGTGTAGCATAAATATTCAATCATTTGCAACGCTGTTTACCCGTCTTCCTTGATCTCAAGTTATAGGTTACTCTACTCACTCAAGGACATGCATAATTGGATTGACATTACCATCAACAAAGTAACTATAGGATATTTAGTTGAATGTCGCTTCTTGAAAGCGCCTAAAATCAACCTCTTGACTTTTCGAAAACATTGAATGACAGATGTGCTAGGTGTTTCCCATTCCGTTCCTTCATTTAATAAACCTTTTGTGTTTAGGAGGACGCACAGTTGCCTATCTGGATTTATCCTTTCGTGAAATAGAGAAATAGTCCGTCCATCAAATATGTGGGGTGATCATAATTCAAGAAACTGCACAAATGAGCTGGTCTAAAATTAATTCCCCCATTCTGACGAAGCCAGTTTGGTTAAGTATGCTGATGATCTGACTGTTTCTATGCTCGTTAATTCTCAGTCAGACTGTTCCAAAATGTCAAACAAAATACGGTTAGTAAAGAGTCTCTTTTCGGCGAATTCATTTTCAAAGCTATACAATCGCAAAATGAACTACTTTTTATCTGAAATTAGTTAGTGGTCCCTCTCAAAAGTTTTTAAGCTTAATCCCTTCAGATGTAAGGTGGTTAATTCCATTTGCAGAGGCAAGCGCGACTTAAATGAACTGGTTAGTTCGTACACCTTCGGCAGGGGATAGCGGCACAAATCATTTGATTGCTGCAGATATCGTGTGTTATCGTGTTGTTGTGTTTGGGCAGTCCTGCGTTCCTTTTAGTGGTTTTTTCGACAGAAGTGTATTCTAAATACCGTATTTTAACGAAAAAAGGGAGAAAAAAGTTTTCTTGGTGTTGACAAAATGCTGTCTATTCATCGAGTTGACATGCTGAGGTGCACGCGAAATGTTGTCAAATGTCAATTATGATAGCAAATATTTTTGATTTTTTGATTATAGCTTGATTCCACACCGTATTATTGGTGCACATATGGAATTCTCAGCATGTGATATCGGTAGCCCAAATTTAGCAGGCCGAACAACTGATATCAGGTGTGCATCGGCTGGGGATCGAGTCCCGGACCGTGTGCATGGTCGGCGAGAGTCCTAACCACTGTTCCACTAACGCACACTGGAATATGTTTCACTTAAATGATGGGGAAGGGTGTTGAATATTGAGGCGATTATGATTTCATGATCTTTACAAAGTTTCACAGTAATTAAGAAAATCGAGTTGGTTTTTTGATCAGATAGCGGTGAATAGACAGTCGTTTAATTGGTAGGTACTGACTAAAGTTTCGTTATTTTTAATTTCCAGATCACGGTCTTCGCTTCAGCAATCACCCAGTACATTCTAGTGAAATTAAAACGGATAATATGTTTGTGAACGATGAAATATTTATGACATGATGAATGAATTTATGGAAATAAATATTTTTGATATTTTGCAGTCCACTCACACATTATCTACATTTTTTTCAAGTTGAGAAGTGATGCCAGTGTAGAAGAAGTAATATTCGTAAAATGTCATATTTGCACGTGATTGAATCTGGCCATGATGGGGTACTATTTTTGCTTCTGAGTAATTGTTTCCGCTAGCAAACTACAAACAGGCTATATGTACAACAAAAGCCTATCTAATAAGTTGCGGTATTTTCTGACAAAAAATAATCAATGAAGTTTAGTGGCGTGGTCAGCTAATTCAAAAGTCTAAGTGTTGATGTGATCATGTAAGAGCCTATTGATATGAAATGATCACACAAGAAGAGTAATGCAGTTATCTCTTTATCACCTAATGATTTCCTCTGAGATAGTGTTAAACGCAATATAAGAATAATAAACTACTTGTGATAAATAGGATATGCGTTTCAACTGCCTAGACTACAAATACAAGTCGTGTACGTATAGAACCCACATTTGCCAGGTTATATTCCGTTATTACAGTACGAACACATGTTCAATGGCCATTTTCTTAACAATCATGATTTCGAATATAATAAGCAACCGGATTAAAAGTAACTGAAACACTTCACGCAGAGCTTGCTGACGCACTTCAAATAAGTTTTGATACGTTGTCAATCATTCTCGTTAACTACCCAGTGTTCTCAAAATGATAAGTAAAAGAGGTAAGGGTAGTCGACATAAATGCATATATTTGCAAAGAAACAATGATCAATCAAGTTAAAAATAATTCAGCATGAAAGAGTACATATCTACACTAGGAAGAGTTGATAACAATCCAATGAAAAAGTCACAGTTGCAGAGTTTTTATAGCTGCATCATAGTCATCATAAAGTCTAATAATCACTCTATCCACAATATCTGTTTCAGTTTACCTCCGTCAGCAGTGGTGCTGGACCACTCCTTTCAGTTTTTGTCACAAACAAATCAGTTCGGAGAAACTGCATGTGAACTTTTCAAGCAAAGATTGAGATTGTATTCCTTTGAATACCTCTGAATACATATAGGTCAATTGATCTTACCTTTGGTGAACGATCCCTAATCCCAGGCACACTGGATATGCGAACAAGGGAAGGAATAATCATACAGTTGGTGGAATTCTATATAGTCCTCCATATATTCGACGATAAATTTGAAGAATTGTATAACTTCCGAAACATCTCCCACAATTTTTCTTCTACAAAAGGCAGATATTACACAAGTGACTCCATTATTAGTCCGTTACAACCAACCAAAAGAGATCAAATCTTCAAAATTTATACTTCTTTGATTAATAATAATAATAATGTATTTCATATAAATTTACAAATTTACATGAAAATGCATGCCATTTTTACAGGCACGATCAAGTATGATATAATATCAAATCGTAGATTGTCTACAAGTTAATCGTATTTCAACTGTTAAATATTCGATACATATAATACACTCATTTTCTGAATTAGGCCGTATAGTTATTGAATTGTACAGTTGTCCTCCAGGTTGAGCGGGAAAATCGACTTCGTTCCGTTTTCATCCCGTGGTTGTAGGCATACGATAACCAACCGATATTGAGGTAAGTACACCTTTTACAAGGGATTGGAATCTGTTTTAGAAAAATTAAAGTGCTGAGGTGAATCATTAAATTGTAATGAGATAGGTAAGTGCAAGTATCATTAATAAATGCATTAATAAAGGAAACACCCTAGGGTAACAACATTCATTTGCAATGTATAATGCTACAGATATATCACAAACTATCATGATATCCACTTTTGGTTTTAATACAATTATCCTCATGCCAGTTGTTTTTATTTTATACCTTTTTGTGCATTTAGCGCACAACCGTACCCTTCAGAGAGTAGGAGTATAATAAGTAATGAAGAGCTATAAGATGTTAAGTTTAATGGAGTAAAATGAGGATCAAGTAAAGACGTTGTCAGAAAATAAATGAGATAAGACATTGTGGAGTGGTATGAAAAGATCTGACGATAGACAGCAAGTTAATTTATAAGATGCCCCATAAATCTGAGCAGATCCCACATGGTCGCATCTCAACAATAGGCTGGGTGAATGGTATATATTTAAAGGTAGAAGCATGATCTGTCAAGGCGTTCATTGTTATCTTTTTCAAGATAAAGATTTAAGCCCTCATAAAAACCAGAAATATCTCGAGCCTTCAAATTTTTTAATGCTGTTCCTGCAGAATGGGGCGATTCACCTTAGTGTCCACCACCATATCTACTGATCAGCTAACTCCACCCTCCCACCTTTTTTGATGTTAGGCTCTGAGACTATGATTATTATGGTTACCGCAAATATATTGCTTGGTACCAGACATGTTCGTACCCCATATTCCATCTCCCTAGCTTTCTTAATGAGTGCTTCCAATAGGTCCCCGCGTACATCTTTATGAACATATTATATATGTATGCATGCGTCCTAATGAACAGATTACTTTATAAGAAGACAAAAACCTTGAAGAATAACAAGAATAGGTTTTGTGAATAGTGGAGCAAGATTCAGCAGAACAATATAGTTAGGGTTCAATATAGGTAGTATGAACTGAAGGTAAG